TGAAGGGACTTCTGAAGCCACGTTTAGGGATCAGGAGGGAACAATGTGCCGTGTTTTTTCATACAGCCCTGTGTTGTTATGATGTTTCCAGTTCTTCTCTGTCAAGGTGATGCTCACATACCTTCACAGGAGACTACATTCTGTAAATATCATGGCTTTGATAACCATTGTTGATGTCATCCTAGCAGGCAAATATCAGTATCTTCAAGATATTGCCTCCTAGAACCTTCTCATCCTTTCATTGTATTTGGCTACTTCTTACTCTTTTAGAACTAAAGTATATGAGCTTACGTTTGGCTACTTCAGAACGCATGATAGTTGAATGAGCCCAGTTTATCCTGGAAACCAGATTGATTCTGTAATGTCAGTTGTCATCACCATTTATTACTTCTTCTGCACTTTTGGCTCTGCAAAAACAGACCCAAAAAAACCCAAAACATTATTTTAATTTTTAAATTTGTTTCCAGATTATTCATGAAATTATTACCAGCTACTGGGTTTTTAAGGTTTTGATGCTATTTTGTAAGATCTGTAATATAACATTTTTTTCCAATGTGCCTTATTATACAATACTAATTCATTTTAGTTTGAAGACCACAAAGTATCAAGTTAAATACTGTTCCTAAGTGTATTACCTCAGCACAGTAGCAAACATCAATATATTTTTAAGTTCAGCGAAGAATAACCTGAGTTCAGCTGATGAGGCCTTTTTCCAAAACTCTTAGAGAGTGTTAATATGCTTTTATTGACTGAACTTCATCTTTTACATTTTATAAATTATGAGGTCAACTATGTTGTATGAGTTCAACTTTGCAGGATTTCCATTGTACACTCAGCAAGGCAGAAAACTCCTCAGCTAGATCTTCTACAGTTATTGACTGAAAGATATCTGTGCACTCTTTTTACCATGTTTGTTTCTAATAAATGTGGTTTAGTATTTAGCTTGTAGACTGGCAAATTGTACAATATTCTGATCAGATATAAATACTTCATTTTCTCCTTACCAAATACCACTAAGCAGCTAACCACTGAACATATTTTGCATCATTAGCTTTCTTATGTCAACCTAGTACCAAGCATTTACTGATGCTTTCACTTATTTTCATAGAACCACAGGAGTCGCCGTCACCTCTCTGCGAAGCTTTTTCCAGTGCTTCTTCACTCTAACAATAAAGAAGTTTATTGTGTTTACACTTTAGGTTTCCTTCTATTGTCTCTAGTTTTACTAGACTTGAATTTTCTTTGGCTTTGTTTGGGTGTTTTTTTATTGTCATGTTTATGATTGCTATCTACTTTTAATTATTGGCATTCCTTCTTTTTCCAGAAAGAGCTTTTAATAAAACAGCATTTTTTAATATCTAAAATACTGTGGAACATTTACCATGTAATTAAATCTTCTGATATACATCCTAATTTTTGTTAAGACCATGATGTTTCTTGACCTTTTTTTTTTTTGTTTTTTTCTTTTTTAATAGAAAACAAATCAGGCAGATGTAGAGAATTTATCTACATATGTGCCTATGTGTATCTCACTGTAAGGTAACTGTTGAATCACAGCCTGAAGCACTGATTGAGCACCTGAGGAAATGACCAGGTTAGCCCCAGGAGCACAGGTGAAGGCAATTCACCTGTGCAACCAGAAGGGGTGGAGCCTGGCTGCATTTCTCTTAGACCTCATTTAAGGGCTGACTGCCACTAGGGAAGGATCTCTTCCTGGAGATCTCCTTGGTGGAGTCTTTCTGTGTGAACCTGTAATCTTCTGATGTGTGTGAACAATCACCTTCCCTCCCTTTATAGCACCTTTCTATTGTGCCCTTCCATCATTAGACCTCTGGTATAGTACCTTTCCCATGATACTAATCTGTCCAATTGCTACACCCAGTAAATACAAACACATAAGTAATGCTTACTCATATATAATCACATATGCGTATGAAAGAGCGTGGCTGAGCCTGTGCTCTGTCTGCCTTTGTTTGACGTAATCAGTTGTGACCACTTTTCTTCAGGCAGTCACAAGCTTCCAGCCTAGCAAACGTTCTACCTCTACCCACCACGCTCAGGTCTGTGTGTGTGGTACCTATTTTGTGCTGAAAAATTGTTGCTAGTAACTCCTGAAAACTCCAGTGCTCCAATTACCACTGTCTTCATGGCACTTCTTCATATATCAGTGATTATAATGCCAGTTTTACTTTCACATAGCATTGACAGGCACTTAAGGGATTATTTGCTTTTTAAAAAATATATATTTTTTCCTTTTAGCACTGATGACTAAATGCTTTCCATACATTATTCATATTTATATTACATCAAACTGTAAATTTGTGACATACTGGAAAAACTACAGTTTTGGCCCCTGATTGATTTTTCTTTCATAGCTTTTGTGTTTCATTATCTTTCAGTGGTTAATGATACTTTATGGCATTATATTATTAATGTAGTGATACAAATTAAATTTGTGTGTAACTGAAATCTAAATCTTAACCAAGTGGCACCAAAAGTAACACAACGATAGACAAGATAAGAATTCAACCTTGGTATTACAATTTTCCTCATGTTGCATTTGGTGCTAAAGATAAGCAGTAACTTACAAAAAAAAAAATGGATTGACTTGATTCCATCTGACAAGATTTCACATATGCTGGAACATATTTTGTTGCAGTTTCTGTAAAAATGGATACTGTTGTTTAGCTTTATTTAAAATTATTTTTTGTTTTACCTAAGATATTCTAAGATGTTCTTACATTTGCTTTTATTATTCATCAGCAGGTAACTTATGAGTAAAAAGTGCACAGGAAATATTGCTATCCTTCTGTTGTTATTACAAATTTGATTTGGCGTGTTAATAACATGACTGTCAAAACTGTTTATATTTAAAAGTTCAGCAGAGATAATCATCACTATGGAGTTTGGGCTCAAAAAAGGGTGACATCTGCCTCCAGAAGCAAATCTGTGATGGAAATTTCCATGCAGATCACTTGACAGGAGATTACAAGTTTTACTGCAGGCCAGATACAAACTGAGAGATACAGAACATGCAGATGCTTTCATCTTGGGGTTGCCAAATCTACTGTATTTCCTTCTTGCTTTCTTACTCAAAACCCACTCAAAAGTGGGTCATACCCAATTTTGCTTCAGTAAAAGCATTTAAGTAACAAAATATGCATTGGATTCTGGAAAGTATATACTGAGACACACACAGTTATTGGTCATTCTTAGTAATACTACATTCAAATTTTCCCAATATTAAAGAAAAATATCTTTTCATAATAAATAATACACTGCCCCAAAGATATTGAAACACACTCTAACTGTACCTAACAGAGTAGGTGTAACCTTCAGTCAAATGAGAAAAACCTAGATAGATTCCAGCTCAACTACGTGCATCATCAAATGTATCATTGACATTGCCAGTCCTTGTAGAAATAGTTGGCAATGCTACTTCTGTTCTTCAGGTGCTCACGTAATTGAGGACACTTAAAAGGAATGTGTTCTTATTTCTACTCATCACAGGCAAATATAACCCAACAGTTTCTTTGGCAGGTTGCTTTGACAGCTGCATTAAGGCCTCTATGTGATGTTTGTTGGTTTGTTTTTTTTTTTTTTTTTACCTCTAGGTTTTCACTGGAACAAATAAAGCATAGAAATAAACTGGGTGGTTTATCTTCTATTGTTGAAATTGAAGTTCATCCTAATTGTTTTTACAGTCAGTAGAACAAATCACTGACTAATAACAACGGTCAGTGACAGCACTCAGGTGTAAATGTTCTTTATCTTCCCTTATATCTTTTACATTACCTTTATTTTCTTGCTACTCACAGTTTAGGGGGAGGGCTAACAAACTGCCAAGGATGGTCTGTATGTTTTGAGACATTAAAAGGGGAAAGCTCTCACACAGCAAGTGTAGTCTTTCTATAGAGTATTTAGAGAACACAAAGAAACTTTTTCAACCCTATCTAAAGTACAGAACTAATCCAAGTTAAAACCTGCCTGCAGGCAAATCATGTGTAACAATTCAGAGTTTATCCTTGGACAGAGAGCATGTTGGGTCTTGGCTGTATTCTCCTTGCACTTTGTGCAATAATTTGTGCTCCTGCAAAAAAAAAAAACAAAAAAAAACAAAAAACAAAACAAAAAAAAAAAAAACCACCACCTGTCTGACTGGGGATTTAGTTGTCTTTTACAGAGCTCAATGAGGCTATCCAAAGAAGGCTTCCAAAGAAGATATCACACCTAGAACCCTATTGTAATGGATCACAGGCTGTTTGGCATGTTGGAAATTGGCAGACAAACTTTGGCAAGCTGTTCCATAGTGGAAAGAAGGTTTTGCTTCCAACTCCAGTCCTCTGCTGGAGTTACTGTCTGCACAGTAATGGGGGAATGCAGACCTTTGACTTAGCAGCTCTGGTGCAAAGGTTAAAACATTCACCTTTGCTAAAGGTTAAAGCTGAAATATTTTTCTGGCAATGCAGGTGGATTTGCACTAAAACATCAAAGAAAGAGAAGTACTTGATTCCTTTGCTGCTCTGCAGGTTGGGAAGAGGAGACAGAAAAGGTGGGTGGCTTTCCATGAGGTGTAGCAAAGAAGGGTGAGAATTGCAGCATCCAAAATTGACTCAACGTAACAGCTGGTGTTGGTGGAGCGACTGGCAAATGACCACAGTGATTTATGTGGATTAAGTGTCTCTCTTCTGTAAGATACTGCATTTAAATTGCTAAGCAGAAGTGCCTAAACAGATGTTCCCACTTCTTACCTATTTCAGTGCAATTCCAACAGCTTACTTATATGAAGTCTTGTGTGGCTGGACTTGCAAACAAGTTTTGCTCCTGCCATGTTTCCTTCAGGATAGTAATATATAGCAGAGGGGCACACATGCAGGTTTATCAGAGGTTTAAGGACTTTTGCCACCACCCAGATTGTCTGTGCCTGTCATCCCCACACTCATCCTGGCTGAGTAACATGCTCACTGCTGGCTCTATGCAGTCTGGCATAGCAGCTTCTTCAGCCCTGCCAAAGCTGGGCAACTGGCAGTCAGTATACGTCCTTGCCTTGTTAACCTTAAGCTGCGTCTGTAGCTGAGACCCTTCTGATTCCTGTCCTGACTGGACAACTAATGTGGTTTTGTTTCTTTCTACGTAGAGATTCTGTCTCTCCTGTATTTCTGCAAGTTGAAAGAACAATACGTGGTCTTCATCTTACTGCCAAGCTTGTTGCCTTTCTGAAGGAATCCCAGCTGTTGATGTTGCCATGAAAATGACAAAGATACATGAAAATTGCACAGAACGTGGAGCACGGGTTTGCAACCTTCATCATTAGTTATCAACTAATTCCAGAGGTTTACCCATGAACTGACACTATTAAGATCTTCTTTAAGGCACATCTAAATGGACAAATTCCACCAATGTGATGGTAGAAGACTTACATTTCTGACTCTTGCTAGACTTATCAAGTTCCAAAACTAAAAGTGCTCCAAAATATCCTGCTGGTGCCACTGCAAAAATTAAGCTTGAGTCTAAGCCAATACAAAGGAATCTTCATGGCTGTACATTGGCTTGGCTGGAGAAATGGCAAAGCTTCATGGCTACACCCAGACTTATCAAACTTCATAAATATATAAAATTGAGGAATTTTTTTATTCCCACTATTTGGTAAGGTCTAAATAAAGCCTTTGAAACTTCACTTACTCATGCAAATGTTTAAAATGCAGCTGTTCAAACTGGAACGCGTACATTCATCAAAACAAGGTACAGAGCAAATGGTAAAGAAGACATTGTGGTGGAGGACAGGGCATACATCAATAGGAAAACAGTTAATTAAGATTTAATTCATATATATTTACTTGAACATGTATTTAAAGCCAAGTATTTCCTCCCATATCTTTGAATACATATTTGTGTCTTTCTGTTTAATGAACTTTTCAGTCCTCTCACTTCCCCATACTTTTATACACATTATTTTTTTTGTGCTGCTTATGAGCTTATGTGCTGACTCCTTACTTTTCCTCTGTATTCACATCTGTATTTTATCATTTTGTTTGTCTGGCTAGCTGCAAAGCAATACTCTCCAATCTTGCTAGTCTGTCAGCAGTGTGAAAATACCATGAAATGTAAACCACCAGCAAATGTGTGAACTACTGGAACTACTGAAAGCTGCTGTTTGCTGAGTTGTGAACTACAGAGAGCATAAAAGCAGCAAATTTTTTTTGTTGTTAATACTGTTGATTCTTTCCTTTTTTTTTTTTTTTATTTTTTATTTGTTTGTTTTTTGTTCTTGCCATGGATTTTGTAGTGGGTAAGATTTGCTTAAAAATAACAGTGAATTGCGTAAACACCTTGATATTAACAGTAGTTAAATATTGACTTCAATTTCAATATTTTAAAAATCATGTTTCACAGAATGTATCTTTGTATATTGTTCCTGATATTTGGCAGATCGCTCTTGGCAAATGCTCCTGTTGTGCCTCAATCACATCAATGCACAGATTGCTGTGTTGCCATAAAACTAATTTCATTTGCAATTTCCACATGGGGTGAGGAAATTGCAATTAAGTGACTGAGACACGAGCGTGTTTCATTCTGCTGCATCTGCAGTCAGGATGATTGTCTGTATTGGAGTGACAGTACAGACACATGGGTCAGTATTATTTGAAATTTCTTCACCAAGATTCAACAAGTCTGTTAATCAATGTTTAAAATATCACTATAGAATAACATTAATATATTATACTTAATGTTTATTATCTCTCTTCTGCTGCTCAGAGGACTAACTGGCGTTCATCAGGGATTGGTGAGCAATTTCTTGTGCATTACTTGTTATATACATTCATAGATATATATATGGATAGATAGATATTTGTCAGCAATTATCCTTTTCCCTTTCTCTATCTTAGTAAATAGCTCTATTTTCAATTCTCTCCCCATCTCCCTGGGAACACAGTGGAGCAAACAAACAACTGTGTGGTGCTGAACTGCTGCCGGGTTAAACCACAGCACTCATGACTGTGCTTCACAAGATCTGTCATGCACAGGTTAAAGGAAATGGGATAGCTTGCAGCAGCAGCAACACAAAACCCAAATCTTATCTTCAATGAATTTGTGAAATGTTTTGCTGCTGACTTCACTGAGGTCAGAAGTGGACTGCCTAATTGGGAAACTTGTTTTTAACAGTCATCTAGATTTTCACCATTAAAAACAGGGGAAGATGTGAGCTTGGAGGATCTACTCCTCAAACGAGAAATGTATCCTTACAACCTCCAAAATTTCATTCTGCAGTATTAAGGGCCAATGTAAGGAACAAACAAATTCACTACAAAATAATAATTATTTCATTCCCTTTGATTTCATAAGCTCAGTGCTCCTGTTGGAAAGTATATCTGAGTAATGATTGAGGAATTGTGCCAGTAGTAGAAGGAAGCACATATTCTTCCCTAGTTACAGCTGTAATGTTGATATAAGGCTTTTAACCAATGGTCCGGACAATGCGTGAATGAGTCATAGGTATAAAACATAACAAGCTACTGCTTCTCATTTCTTAGCTATGTCTGGGTGAAATGAGAGTTCATGTGAGAACTTGTAAACAATAATAAGAAAATATGGACCTGTATAGAAGCTTAGAAATTCCGTACCAAGATTATGACATTGCAAAGTGCTTTTGTGTTTGTTAACCCAACATAGTAAAGCTAAACTGGTTGAATAATTATCTGATTTTTATTTTTTAATTAAAACTTGTTAGTGTTTTGTAGATTTCAATATCAATCTAGTACTAATATTTTTAAATCATAATGCTCAAGTAGTACTTAAAATGGAGCTATTTTTGGCAGTAATTACATTTTTCGATAGAACTTAGCTCCATGTGGCCTCTTTGTAGAAAAAATAGTATTTTGTTAAGTTAGCAGCTTTTTGCTATCTTTCTTGGGGGAAAAGTATGATTGTTTAAAAAAAAAAATCCTCGGAAGTATTATTTTCAGAATGAATAGGACAATAATCTAAATATAGTTGGCTCACTTCTAATAACGCTTTCCTCAGAAAGTTTCCAAGTACAACCACTGGAAATAGGCAAATACTAAGAGACAGATGACATTCCCTAAAGAAGACTGACAGCTTTTCTTATTTATATATTTATAGTATATATTTTTACAAAACACATACATATGTATTTTTATGTGTATATAAATGCACATATGTTTATATATTTTATATATAGTCATATATATACATATACTGAAAATTCACATTTTTGTCCTTTGCATTCTCTTTTAGGAACCCACTAGATCCATGGATCAGGCATGTAACAACCTTACAGTGACTGAAGTCTTGAAGATCAAATGGCTTTAGTTTTGTCTGTTTTCTAATATTTTGTATAAATATTAGGATTGCATGCAACATAATTATTAAAACGCTTCTAATTTACTGAATTTAAAGTCTCTACACTTCTTGTTTTTTCAGTTTTTAATAATGCATTATTAATTATTAATTAAATAATGCATTATTAATTATTGCTTGTTAAGAGGACAAACCTTCTGCTCAGTTATTGCTCTTCTGATGCACAGAAACTTTTATGTACACACATTTTACAACTTTTGTAACCTGAAAACAAGGTTTCCATCATGCAATAAGACCATACTCTGTATTGAAAACTAGGTAGGAATTTTCAGCAAGATTGTGTTAGTGCTTAATGAGGGCTCCTTGGAATTGGTAGTTTGGTCATACATGCTCTAAGAGTACCATAGCAATGAATTAATGCCTTTAATCAAATGTCTGTATTTCAGAAGTTTATTCCACTCTTCCTTAAGGTCATGGTTAGGTTGATGATGCTTTTCTAGATCAATATGCTGACTTGCTGGCATACATAAGCAAGGCTGACCTTTTGCTAGCACAGCATATGTCACATCTATATGCATGTTAAACACTTATGCTATGTTTTGGCTATATAAACGAAGTTTATCGTATCTGGCCAAAGAAGCCAGAATACTTTTTCAAATTACTTGTACTATTAAAGACCTATCAGTTACATCTGCAGCTACTAACAGTCTTGTATCTCTTATTAACAGATATTCCTGTCATTTTTGCCAGTACAGATGAGGAAGACCTGTTGGATCATTGTCTCACTTACTACAGATTAGAAAGGATACGGTAAGGTGCATAAATACATTGAGTATTCACAGACAAAACAAGTTCTAGCAAGTATTACTGATAGGAGACAATAAACAAATATAAAACTTATTGCTTACTTGTTTTTTTACACTGCAAGAAAAACATATTTTCCTTCTTTCCCACTGCCACTGAGAAGTGTGGATGGATGTAACGTTTAAAATATTTAATTACGGCTAAGACAAGGAGCATTATTAGGTTCAGTGACTTGTATAACTGTGTGTCCACCTGTAGGGAATCTGCTTTAGCAGGAAAGTTGGAATCAATGATATCTAGAGGTCCCTTCTAAGCCCTACAATTGTCTGTTTTAAGTCATGTGTGCGCTATTTCTTTACACTGAAATAACTCAGATTAATGTACAGCCTTTGCTGCGTATTCTAATTTGGGTTTTTGTGTTATGCACAGTCAACAAATGTACAGTTGGAAAAGTAGAATGGCTAGGATAGTACTTCATAGGTGAAAATATTATTATGGTGGAAAAGAGACAATCAAAAATGAAATGCTCACCCATATCCGAGGATCAAGGCTCACAATGGAAAACTCCAAAAAGGAGGGATCTCTAGAAAGACATCCTTCCCTGGTGGCAATCAGCCCTTAAATGGGGTCTAGCCTTGCTCCACCCCTTGTAAGTCACACAGGTGAATCACCTGGTCTAGTAAAATAGCACTAGTACTAGACACAGGTCTAGTGAAAATCACCTGTGCTCCCACAGCTGACCCAGTCCTTGCCTCAGGTGATCAATCAGTGCTTCAGGCCATGACTCAAAACAGTTCCCATACATGTTATTATTTGAGAATTGCTTATACATGCAGCCTTATATAGGAGTCTTTCATAGATTTGTTTGGGGTTTTTTTGTTGTTTTTTTTTTTTAGTGTATGTTTTATTTGTAGTTGTTTTATTTGTTTTGTTTTTTAGGCTAAGATAACTTCACATAGGTGGCTTAATTCTGAATGTCTACAAAAGCTGAAAGGTCTTACTGTGATCCTCTTTGTACAGTTGAAGCCCACTGAGTGTGCAGAATCAGATCTTAACAGGTATATGGGTTATTTGTTATTAATTTATTATTGGGATGATAAACAAATGGGTGATAAAGCAAATAGTTTGAATGACAAACAGATTTTATTTCCGATAAAACAAAAGCAGAATTTGCAAGTCCAATCTCTTTGCTAGTCAAAGTGAATATATTAACCATAAAATATACATAGACTAACAATACTTGGAATGTGGGCAGATACAAATTCATAGCTGGGATTAGCATAATCCCTACATTTATGTTCAACATTCATAAATATTGTGTATACACATAATGTATGTGTATATAATATACACATAAATAATATGTGTATATATTTATATATATTTTCATTTGGAAAAGCACCAAGAAAATGGTGTTTGAGTGGAGGGCAGAGGTTATGAACCATCTTCATAATTTGAATTTATAACTCATGCACAGAATGGAAACAGAACCATATATGATAGCACTTTATTGATTCATTAATATTTATTTATATACACAGTAATATACCATGCATCAACAAATTGGACTCTTTAATAAATAGTATTAACATTGCTTGTTTTTGCATAATCAGTTAATTAATGTTTCTGCATTTGACATTCTCATTTATTTCACTTATTTCATGTTGCATAATGACTTATCTTGTTCTGTGCTGCAGTGTTTACTCCTAAGGAGTAGAAAGTTAAACAGTAAACTTTGTTAAACAGTATTTTGTTGCCCAGTAGCTCAAGTAATCAAAGTGAAATCTATTAACAATTAATTACTATCTTAATATTCAATTAAATACCCTTTTTTTTTCTTTTGGGGGCATAAACATTACTGCAGAAGTTATTACTGTAGAAGTTCCAGACAGGTAATTCTTAAAGTATGTGCATGTGAATCCTGTAAATAGCACATAAGGAGCACAGAATAACAGCAGAAGCATGTGATTTGTAGGTAAATATGGACAATAAAATTTAGCCTTTTGCAATTAATGGGGTGTTGACAATCTGATCAGACTTTTTTTTCTTAAGCATTGTTCTAGTTTTATATAAAACTTTTAAATTAAATTGAAATTTAATTCAAATCTCCCATATCCTGTAACAATAAAAGCAAATACTATCAGTTTCTCTACAAAAAAAACAAAGGTCATGAACTCTGATAGTCCAGTATATAAATAAACTGGCTTTTATAGCATCCTCTCCCATTTGATTGCAGCTCCATTCCAGGAGCATGCTGCTCTAATGAATATCCATAATGACAAAATAGCGCTGAAGGCAGGTGACAAAGCACTAAACAAATTGAAACAAAAAAATCATAGGCTCACAGAATGGCCCAGGTTGGAAGGGACCTCAAGGATCATGAATCTCCAACCCCCCTGCCACAGGCAGGGCCATCAAGCTCCACACTGAATACTAGACCAGGCTGCCCAGGTCTAATAAAATAAAAAAAAAGCAGTATCAGGCATGGTGGCTGCTGTCAAGAGTAGTATTACTGACCTCATAAGAAAGCACCTGAGTTTCCATTTACAGTGTATGCAAGACAGGCCTCAGAGTTAACGAGGTTTGTAAGTGAAATCCATCTTTTAAAAAAAAAACAACAAAAAGTGAAGTAATATTCACTTGGTATTTTTTCTATTTATTTGTGGGAACATCTGAGAAATTAAACAAATTTCTGTCCTAGAAGCAAAGTAAAGAAATAGATTGATTCAAATGATTGCACTTCTGGTTTCCTGCACACCTAAAAAACAAAAACAAAACATTGAGAACTTTTTGTATATAGGAATAAAGTTAGCACTGGTGAAGAGTTCCTCTTAGTTCTGTCAATGGCTGCAAGCATTCCTTGTAGGTAGTACACCTGGCAAAAGCAACACAGTTTTCTCTTTCCTCTTCTGCTTATGTGTCTCCGATGGCTCCAGCAGAACTTTATGTAGCTGCCCACTGTACACTGAGTAGGAGGTGCACTCTTCTTGCATCAGCAGCAGTGAGGAAAGCTACCAAAATAATAGTTGTACAAAGCAGCTACTGTACAAAAAGTAGTTATACAAAGTTGTACAACAGCTGTGCAAAAAATGATCTAAAATGTTTTTCAGTGACAGTTGCCCCCAGAAAACTGCAAAATTTGAGCAATTCTACAAGTTGTCACCTTCGAGATTTCATTTCACAAGCACTTTTCATTATGAGGAATAAAAACTGGCAAGACCATTAATTTCATCTAAAATTTGATTTAAAATGCTTTGCTTCAAATAAATGTGTTTCATGATGTTCAACTGCTTGATTTCTTTTTACACGTTGTCGATGTCAATGGCAAAAACTGCCTAAGATTTACCATGCTGGTTCCGTCGCTATATATTGCTCCATGGCATACTAGTTGTCAACTCCAAGGTCACAGCTTTATTAAAGGATCAAGATTTACAATAATGTTAGCTCCAGCATGAATGCCTTCACACACATCTTCCCCTACTTTACTTCTCTGAGGTCACCAGCCCAATTTCTATCCCTGCCAAAGCTACTAATCCATAAATACTGCAGTCTTCTGAACAAAGTTCAAATGGACCTATCATCATCTTTGAGTAATAAATCTTTACTTTTGTTTAACACCTGCCATCAGAGAATGCAAGCCTCTTTACTTGCAGTAATTAATTTACCTTCACCACAGCCTTATTTGGTGATTAAAAACTGCTCCCCTTTTAGAGACTGAGGAACTGAGGCACGATGCCATGCTTGACTGCAGTCCAATAGGAAGACTGAGAAGACCTGGGAGCCTGTGTCTACACATAAGTCTTGAATGCTGAAGCTGAAAGCTGTGCTATATCCCTCCCAGTCCTGCAGTGTCTAAACTGAGGCCTCTGTAACTCTCCTCTTAGTATAGTTTCATGGCATTGATGTGGCAAACCTGAAGTTGGCCATATGGGAGTGTATAGTCCTAACTGATGCACGTAAACATAAAAAAGTGTTCTGCAGACACTTTACCACTCAAGGTGTGGTTGGGTATATTCTGGCTGTGCTTGTAGATTTGAAGGAGTTACTGCTTCCAACCACAGTTCATCACCTTTTATGCCTTCTCAGATCCACAGGCCTGGCTTCCTACTTCATTTCAGACAAGACCAGTTAATTACTTCAAGCAGCAGTTCTTTGCCAGCTGATGAAAAGCTCAGCTAACTCATAGCAGCCTCCAACAGATGAGTACACAGCAGTTACCTCAGGTGCCAGAAGAGTCCCAGGTACAAAAATATACCTCATCTCAGTGACTAAGCTTCCCAGCTCTGTCCTCTCCTGTGAGTCCTATGCAGAAGGAGTCCTGCTGTTGGCATTGGACTTTCTCCTGAGCTGAAACACGTGCAGTAAATATCCTAGCCCAGATGACTTTGCTCTTAAATTGCTTATAAGAGTGGATGAACTTCACAACTCCTAGTATATAAAGGCCTTCAAATCTTGCTGTGGTATGATTGATATGATCTAAAAAGGAAGTATTTGGGACAGTTTTTAGCTTTATCTGGGTCTTAGCTTTTGTTTGGAAGGACAGCAGCATTTTTAGTTAGTCATAACTGAGATCCTGAATAAGAAAACAGAGCCAGCATCCTTCACAAGATCACAGAATAGTTCATCCTCTACCCTCACCTAAAGTGAGACCTGAGCTTTAGCTTCACTTCCTTTTCTCTCTTTCCTCTCCAAAGTATGGGACCAAATAATGGGGGCATTGCCTTGCTGCTGATCCCTAGCAGATACTGATACAGATACAGCAGCCCTGAGGAATGGCTGAAGCCTAGCTTTGAAATCCTGGTGGCTGAAGGAGTAAGTGAACCACAAGGCTTAATGTTTTGTATTTTCTCTTCCCTGAAAACATAATTTCAGGCTACAGAGAGTTTCCTACCTAGCAATCTCCTCTAGACATCTGCTTGTGGTATAGACAGTTGCATTCCCAAAGAGGAAAGAAATATGAAAGTGAAGGAACCATTTATCTTCAGCCTATGGCACACATTTTTGATATGAGATGAAAGACCAGGCCCGAGCTGAATCTTAGTTTTATTATGAACCAATATAATTTCCACAAATTAATATACTTTGAAACAAACGCAGTCTCTGTGAGTTGGTTTCTTTTAAAAGTATTGCCAGCATTTTCTTTGTTGTTCATCTGCCAAGAGTTACATTTGAGGCAGTCAGTGCTAGATGGGCTAAGCAAGTCCAAATTCTTCTCTACCTAGAGAGATTTGTTGGCATAACTACATTAATGTAGTGGTCTTCTTACAATTCCTTATTCTGGAAGAAAAGTGCACAGTAATGCTGCTGGATTACTTTAAAATTTTTTGTCAGTCTCATTCAGTAAGCGGAAATTTTAAACAAAATATTATTAATAGCACTAAAACTACACACATAAATGCTGCTGTCATTAGTCAGTCTGCATATAAATCAATCAGTCTATAAAACAGGGAAATTTTTGTTGATGCATTTTTTTTTTCTTACTGTAAGAAATTCTTTGAAACAACACAGTAAAAAAACTTATCTGACATAAGTGAATATGTGGGTATGCATGTATGGAAAGTGCTCCATACACAGAACAATGTAACAGAAAATAAATCACTCATCCTGATTGTCTTTTTCGCTCAGTACTAAAATGCTGTTTCCTTTCTCATCCCATAACATCCAAATGACCACATTGAGACATCAGATACATTCCTGAGTTGCCTGTGCAAAGCTTCCCATAAGCCATCCTCTGAACGTTGCTCTGTAGCTGATGTTGTTGGCACAGCCACATCTGTACTACGCAGTGTGTTCACCAGTAATGTCTTACAGCAGAACGACATGCACACGTTTTGTTTTGTGTAGGCTTATACTTTCATTTGGCTGAGGTGCCACAGAGTCAGCTTTCTCAGTATGCTATGCTGCAGCAGCTGCCTAATGTACACCATAGAATAATCGGAGTTGGAAAGGACCCTAAAGATCACCAAGTCCAACTCCCCTGCAATGGACAGGTACACCAACAGCTAGAACAGGTTGCTCAGCGCTCTGTCCAGCCTGACTTTGAATGTCTCCAGGGATGTTCCTGTCTGGGTAACTAGTTTTTCCACTATTCTTATTGTAAAACACCTTTCCCTTATAACCAGTCTAAATCTCCTGTTTTAGTTTGAAACCTTATCACAACAGACTTTGCTAACAAGTCTGTTCCCTTCCTTTTTATAGTCCCCTTTTAGAAGGCTATGAGGTCTCCCTGGAGCCTTCTCTTCTCTAGGTTGAACAGCCCCAGCTCTCTCAGCCTGTCCTCACAGGAGAGGTGTTCCACCCCCTAGATCATGTGTGTGGCCCTCCTCCTCCAGCAGGTTTATGTTCCTTCTGTACTGTATATGCAACTTAAGTTTCCCAACATTAACTCTTAAATTTATTAGTGCTAGAAAGGGTAGCAGGAAACATTCACCTAGTTAATAATCAAAGCTTCTGAATGTTACAACGTATCTTAAGTGTGTTTAATGCTTTGTGAATACCCCCATGTTTGAACCGCTACTTTATCATCAAGAAGAATGCAGAAACGTCGTCGCCATTCATGCAGAAGGCGCTTGCAAACACTCTCCTCTGATTTCATACTGTCAGCAAAGTCAGACTGTCTGCCTGCTACTGCTACTTGAATGAAAGGTGCCAATGGCTCAGCTGGGTTGGCCATGGACTTGTAATCTCCGAGAGCCTGTACTACATCCACTTGCTAACCTGCAGCACTTCCCCTAGCCACTTTGGGGAACAGCATTTCATGGCGTTTCTCCACATCTGCATTTGCAGCATACTCGACATGGGCACGATGACGGGGGACAGGGACATACAGTAGGGCAGGATCGCCAGCAGCACCCGCAGGGCCCCAAGCGGACATCTGGACGTCAAGACCTTTCCCAGATACGGATTCTCTTAACTCTAGAAACTTTGGGAGCCGAGAAGCTTTAACAGCAGAGCAGGATTAGGTGTGGGCGCAGCGCGCTGCCACAGGACCAGGCTCACAGCTGAGCTCTCCCACACGCCGTCACAGAGGTCGCGGCCTCCGACCAGCGGCGCCCGCTCGCGGCCGGCCTTGGCGGGACGAAGCTCCCCTTGGTCAGCCGGCGCCAATCGGGGCGGAGCCGCATCTCGGGGCCGCTACGGCCCGAAACCCAACGCCGTACCGCCACCGGAAGAAGGGAAAAGGGAAGAGACACTCAGCTCGCCGCGTCCCTCCGCCGCGGGTACGCCCACGGGACAAGGGAGAGAGAAAGGGGGCGGTGGCGCCGGGCAGGGCGGGGCGAGGCCGCCCCGCGGTATCGTAATAGTCCCGCCGGGCCGGGAGGCGATCGCCATGGAAACACCGGCCCGCCCCGGGCCCGCCCCTGGCCCCCGGGTGACGGCGGCGGGGCCTGGGCGCTGTTCGGCGGCGGTCCGCAGTGGCGGTTGAATCCGCCGATCTCCGTCCGCGGGCTGGGGCAGGTAACAGCAGGGCCGGACGGCGGGAGGGAACGGACGGCGGCGGCGCACCCCGGGCCGGCGCCGGAGGGGCGGGGCGGGCGGCGCGCAGGCCCGGGCCCCTTCCCCTCCCCTCCCCCCGCCGTCGCCGCACCCGGCGCCCACCTGGCGCCAGGTGCCCCCGCCATCTTCCTACAGTCCTTCGGCCCGGCCCCGCGGGAGCGGAGCGGAGCTGGCCGGGTAGGACTGGCGTCTCATCCCCGCTCCGCACAGACCGACCCCGACGTGTTGCCATGGCTGAGGAAGCCGCCGCCGCGCGCTTCAGCGAGGACGACTTTTACTGTCCCATCTGCCAGGAGGTGTTCAAAACGCCCGTGAGGACTATGAACTGCCAGCACGTGTGGGTATCCCTCCTCCCGCCCCCCTCCTTCCTACCGAAGCGCTCGCCTCACCTTCTCCGCCTTCCTGCCTTTATTTATTTCTCTGCCTTCTCCCCCGGTCGGTTTGCAGGTGCGGGGCCGGGGATGGGACGCAGCGCAGCCTCCGCCGGCCGGCCCACCTCTTTCCTCGCCTGTTTCTTTTGTAGCGAGCGGGGCCGTCCGTGAGCAGAGGCACGCCCCGGAACGAGCCCCCCGCGTCTCTCCAGCGTCGGGCTGTGCTGCAGTTGGAAGCAACTTCCAAACATGACTGAAATTGCATTTTTAGCTTTATTTATAGCTTCCTACTCGTTTTCAAAGCGATCGTAGCGGAGTTGTCTCCTGCAGTTCCTGCGTTCGTAGTGGAAAGCTGGGCATGCTTTTAGGAACGTGTAATCGCCAAGCGCTGGCTGGTAGAAATGCAAAATAGCTTGGGTGATTGATACATTGCTTCGAGGAAAAGAGGCCAGAGCAGATCCGGGAAAGCTAATGAAGTGAAGTCTTCGGGAAAACGGCAGGAATGCAGCTTTGCAGTATTTTTGGCTCCACTGAAGGACAATAAACAGAAGTTACTCTGATAAGATTTCCAGCACCACGTGTCTACTGCACCATTTAATATCTCATTAATGATCAATCTAGTGTCCGGCTCAGGAATAGTAGACAGATAATAGTCAGTTTTTACCAATAATTCCCCTAATTTCCATGTACTTCTTTTTAAGCTGTTATTTCATTTTCCTGATGTTTATCTTGTAAAGATTTTCTGTTTAGTTGGGGGTTAAACCTCCTTTTGAGGTGGTAATCACTCATCCCTTTTCAGGGACAAAGTATCAAATTTTCTTCACTTTACTAATCTGCTTGGTAACTTTTTAATTCAGATTTTGCAGGAAGTGCTTCTTGACAGCTATGCGGGAAAGTGGAACTCATTGCCCTCTCTGCCGGGGGAGTGTGACTAAAAAAGAAAGATCATATCCCAAAAGGGCTCTAGATGTCGAAAACAGTATGAAGAAAGCTTCCGGGGGCTGTAGATGCTGTGAGAAGCAGGTAGAGTAAAACTTTACAGAAATGGAATAATAATTTTCTTAGTTTTAACCAGATGCTTCTGCTGTGTGCCATTCATGTATTGGAGCTAACATAGCCTATAGTGTTTTTTCTTTGTATGGCTTATGCATGTAGCAGGTGCACAGTGCCTGCCATCAGTTATCAGTTGGGTGTGCTTGATGTAGAAGAGGACCTTGAATTCTCTACATGACTGAGTGGAGTGCCAGTTTTCCCCACAACAATGAGAAAACTGCATACAGCTATAAAATTGTTACGAGTGAGTTAGCTTACTGAAAATGAAAGCTGGAGATATAGGGAAAACCTCAGAAACTTTCACTGTGGAAGTAAAAGCAATCACAGCCACTCTTATTATTTTATTTATATAAATTTATTAAAATTTAATTTTAGGATGACAAACATGAGTTGATTGCTCTATGTATATCTATGTTCACGTGAAGTTTCTCCCTGCCCTGTATTAAATCAGACTGTTTACTATGCCTTTGTAAAGCAGATATTATTTTCAGAACATTGAGTGAAATCCTGACTCCACTGAGCTCTAGAGTAATCTATCTTCTAATATGAATGGATCCCAGATTTTAGCCACATATTTTATTTACCAGTCCAGGTAGCCTTCCTGTCAGCTTGGTATCACTTAGAGCGTCCGTCTGACAGTTTGGAAAGAGGAGCTTCTTGCCTTGTTCCTAAGGATACATTGTTATGTAAAAGCTGGGAGAAAGAAACACTAACAAGTTGATAAATCAAAAGGTAGAACCAAGCAGATTCCTGGATGAACTCTAGGCCCAGACTCATGCTGTTGTTTTATTTAGCTTCTAAATCTGTAAGCACTTCTGACAGTGCTACTGAACCTGAAGTTCTGATATGGGCCTTGTCCAGAACATTCAAATTCCGACAAAATGCAGGCAACTCATCACCGTCTTACCTTGCATGTATGTTAGATAGACATCCTTAAGCTGGTGTTCATTCCCCTCTTTTTTTTTTCCTTTTTTCCTCAAATAGAAAAATTATATATTATCAGAACACAATATAAAACAATTTTGCTCTGCACAAAATAGGAGTGGACTAGAGAAGGATGAAGGAGCTGTTGTGCATTATCCCATCCTCATGGCCCGTCTCTGTGGTAGCTCCTCAGTGATTGATCTTCAGCGTGAGAGTTTGAAGGTCCTGCAACTTTGTTTCAATCAAATGGAGTTTACAGGCAGGTTTCACAGCTAAGAGCTCTCAAAGTTGTCTGGCTGTTAAGGGTGTGGGGGGTGGGAATGCTCCCCAGTCTCGTAGGGTGACAGAGAAGATCTTTGGGAAGAAGGCATTCATCCTGAGAGGAGAGACAAAAGTTAGTTTTTCTGTTGCGTGTGACGCCTAAATAATCCCTGCACACGTTACTTTCTGTTTGCAGAATTATTTTCCTTCTATCCTTGGATTATTTAGTATAATTTCAGTAATTTGGCATTTCATTTACAGGTTAGGTTTTCGTGGATGAGACAGCATTATAAAACGTGTAAGAAGTATCAGGATGAATACGGTGTTCCTTCTGTTATTCCAAAATTACAGATTACCCAGGATTCAACAGGGAACAGGTAATCATGGTGATTTCTGTGTAACAATGCATTTCTTTCTCCTAGCAGAAATTGTTTTATTTGTTTGTTTTTGGTGGTGGTGTTTTGTTTGTTTGTTTGTTTTTCCAGGACATGTTTTCTTCTATAATAATTATTGTCTGTGTTCTTAGGCTTAAAAAAATGACAGTTTTTCCAGATATTTTTCTTTATTCAGCACACAGAAGAAGACCTTTCTACATGATGGTTTGGAATGTCTTCTAAGGGTCTCTTCTAGAAATGGTATAATATTTCCAGCTTACTTGCTTTGCTTTGACAGCACTTGAGCAGCTTGCTTTGTAGCAGATCTCATAATATCTTGCCCCAAGGAAGTTCCCTTCTCATTTTGTTCCTCTCTCTCCTTTCCCAGCTCTGTTTTAGTGGTTATCCTGTTTCAAAACATTGTGTAAGCTTCTGTTTTCAGATTGACTTTGCTTAAAGCTGATCCTTTATGAAAAGTATAAGGAACCTTCAGCATATTACAGACCATAATTCAGATACCATTTACCAATTTGCTTTCAGACAGTAAAGCTGAAGAACTTTCTTCCTCATACCTTCTTACTGATGTGTTTTGGCTTGGGTGTGGGGTTATTATTTTTGTTTGTTTGCTTTTAGTTTATTTTTCAAGACCTTTTTTATATACTGTTTTCATTGACCTTTTATTATATACAGATTGTGCTTTATGCACTGTGTTGACAGTCTGTTTTTAGCAGGCTGAACTTCTATGCAGTTTTCAGCCCATCAGTATATTGCAGAAGTTCATTCCAACTGCTACCAGAACTAGTTGCAGCAGTGTTTAACTGAAACACCTGAATATTGTTATGTGATTAATTAGTGACTACACCATAGCAGAATATTAGTGTTATATGTTTTGTCTTGAAATTCATATTTTCTGGTATTAATGAATTTTAAGAACTTTTGTTAGCGAAGTACAATAACACCAGTTTTCTTTTTTTTTCTCTCTTTTCTTTTTTCTCTTTTCTTTTTTCTCTTTTTTTTCCTCTTTTTTTTTCCTCTTTTTTTTCTCCTTCAAATAAAGTAGCAGGAATGATGCAGTATCAGCTAATGGAGAGATGGCTACTACTCAAATGCGCCAAGGAAATACAAGGTAAGCTGCTTATTTTCCTATAGTTATTATTAAACTAACTATAGTGTAAGCTTATGCTATCTAAAACAAGCAAAACTGCAATAAATTATGTTTTAAAAAAGTATTTAGTTTCTTCTTTGTTTGCATCCATACATTAGGATTTTTCACTACTTTCTTGAAAGGTTTGAACGCAGAAGTATTACTAGCAAGTAAGAACAAGATGCAGTTGCAATTGGATAAAAAATATTTTGTGAAGTCCACGTCTCAGTAGGATGCATTTAGACATACAGAAATAAATTTGCTTTAACATTGCTATTTAGAAGTAGTGATGATAGATGCTCTGTTAGGTCTGCTATTAAATCAATAAAAGTGGTCTTTTTTGTTGTTATCAAAATATGGGAAAGTAATGACAAGTTGACAGATGAATTAGGCTTTCTGTAATACTACTTCCAAAACTTTTGTCTTTATTTATTTTCTTTTTTCCTTTGTTTAACACTGTGTATTTCTGCTTACAGTGGACATCCAACTTTCAAATGCCCCTTGTGTCAGGAAGCCAATTTTACCAGACAACGCTTGCTGGATCACTGTAATAATAGGCATCTTTATCAGATAGTTCCTGTAGTAAGTAGTTATTTTTTTTTTTTTTTAATAAGTTTTTACTTGTATATAATTCTTTCTATTTTCATTCTGATTATATGAGGGATTTTAAGTCTGCAGCATCTATTCTATATCTTAATAGACCACTGTGATCAGAAAAAGTCTTAATACTTAAAGCACTGCATATAAATAGAGGAATGGCTTTCATTTGAAAATGCTTCTTGTCCGGCACCTGATGGGTTTTAGGGCATTTCTCACGCAGCTGCCTCATTTAGCTCAATTTGAAACAAACTCAGCTTTTATGCTTGACATGCACTCCTCTTCTTCATTTAGTAACTGAGTTATGTTTTTATAGGATTCCATTTGTAACATAACTGTAGTTTTATTTGAAACCTACAGTTAGAAAGTAACCTTAAGGTAATCAATAGAAGAAGACGAGAAAAATCTGTTTGGTTTTCTATTCTTTTCATCTGTAGAGGATGAGTTTTCTTTACGCTAGCTTGATCATCTCAGGTGCATGAAAATCCTTGTAAACAGTGTCAGAAGTAGCAATTACTTTCTTTTCCAAATTTTATACAACAGGAATTAATAGAGTGGCAGACAGAAGTGTGATAGTCCTCCACTCCTTAGACAAGCACTAACAAACTTGGAAAGCTGTAATGTAATCTTGAATATTACTCCCCTGAGATAAAGAATATCTAAAGCTATATTTCTGTGTAACTGTAGTAAGACGTAGTTCTACTTTAGACTGGTTATTCCTGTAGAACGTGTTTTTAATGCATTCTGTATTATTACCAGTAGCTTTTTAAAAATTTCTTTGTTGTGTTTTTTTTTTTTTTTTTTTTTTTTTCCCCAAATTCAGATCTGTCCTATTTGTGTATCTCTCCCTTGGGCAGATTCTAGCCAGGTTACCAGAAATCTTGTTAGCCATCTAAATCTAAGACACCAGTTTGACTATGGAGAATTTGTGGTAAGCTTTTCCTTCTTTGTTAAGCAGGGGAGTAAATGGTAATTTTTTTATTAGAAATACAAATGCTAAAAAAAGAAAATTGGTTATGCACTTTGTTTCTGCTCTGGACAGAAGCTGGAAGTAGTGTTCTTAACTTCCTGCTATCAACATGAAACGTTGCCAGGAGTAGATGTTGCCAGCAGTTAAATAAGCACAACTCCAAGCTGTTAACTTAAGCATTCTCAAGCTGAACTTTTTTTTTTTTTTTTCCTGTAACAGTTCATTTTCCTCAGGAGAAGGAATAATATAATGGGTGATACTCTGTTTTATTTGACATTTTTTTACCTAATGTGGCACCAGAGTTTAAACCATAGTTCTCAGGACTCAAAGTTCAGCTTGAAGAGCTGGTAGGCTGCTACAGCCTCTCTTCCAATGTGTTGTGAAAGGGGCTGCAACGTAAAAAAGAGGTGTAGAGTTGGTATTCTTTTGGGCTTATTTTGATTAAATGGACATTGAGTGGATTAAAAGGTGCATACCCATATGTAGTCACTGGGTGGATTGTAACTGAAGCCAACCAGTTGAGTCCTACACGTGAGCTTAGAGATTTTGGAGAGTTCATTCTGTAGTTTCAAGAGTGTTAACAAAGTTCAGGATATGCTGTGTTAGCCTCATATAGAAGGAACATAGTATTTGAGACATAGGCAGCCTCACAGGTTAAGGAAGGCAAAGATTCAGTATGTACTTTGTGGTGAGTCATCTGTGATGAAGGCATGGAAGAGATTGACACAGGGAATTGAGATGTTGAGCTTGAGTGCATCTTGAGTGCTTGAGGATGCAGACCTACTGATTGGAATAATGATTTGGGAAACCTGCCAGAGTTGTACCAAAGAGATGTATTACTCTGTAATTCACTTACAGTGATATAGTAACATCTTAGAATACATCTCTTCAAAAGAAGCAGGATTACCCACACATCTTTTGCGATACATATGATACAATCTATGATTACTGTAGTCTGGGGATAAGGTTTTATGTCTATTAATGGAAAAGGTTATGGCTAGTTGGGAGCCCAGGTAGAAGAGTTGTGGGATGCAGTCAGCTTTCCTGAGCTGACTGTTCTGCAACGTAACTCAGCCAGGAAGAGTAGGTGGGCCCTTCTGCTCAATGAGCTTATCCTGCTCATCTGAGTTCTGTCTCCTGGTTCTTGGTTAAAAAAAGGATACCGTGCAACATAAACAAAGCAAATACTTAGAGAAATAAAGAGCCTGAAGTGGGGAAAATGAGTTATTGAACTAGAGATTGTGGTACTTGATTATTTGACTATTTTAATGACATTTTCATTTTGTTTAGAATTATCAGCTTGATGAAGAAGCCCAGTACCGAAATGCAGTTCAAGAATCCTGTCATGTGAACTTTTAAAGAATGGATTTCTGTCTTACTGGTTATCCTAGAGGAAAAATTACATGATTTGTTGATAATCTGAAACCTGCATTAATAACAAATGGCTTAATTTTTTCCATGTTGATAAGAACTTTTTATATATGGTTTTACTGAAACTCAAACTTGATATTTTTAATAAGATCAGGCTCTTGGAATCAGAGAGCTTCCTGGAACAACTTTGTCTTCATTGTTTCTAACTTCTACTACTCTGTTAATCACAGTTTCTTTTACTAATGCTGGATATTCTGATTGACCAATAACAACTTTGAAAACAGCATTTTTAGAGATGCAAAGATGCTCTGTTGCACTGTTGAATTTAAGTTCATCTTTTGTCTCTAAGATAGCTGCAGGTTAACAATTTGTGTTGTCCTCCTGCCTGAGGACAAAGTTTTATTTGATGTTGTGATTTGTTCCTTGCCATTACTATGTAAATGAAAACAGTGCCAGTGTAAGAAATCAAAATACTTATTTTGTATAGGTTAGCGATGCAGAGGTTTCTTTCACTAAGAAAGAATGGTGCCATTGCCTGGGAATGATTGCATCTATTTTCTTCCCCTTTTTGAGCATAACTGAAGTAGGACACTTGATTAGACATCTGAATGGAGAGTTTTCTCCATCCTCCTAACTATCAGTGAAGGTAGCCCCCCTGCTATAGAATCACAGAATTGTAGGGGTTGGAAGGGACCTCCAGAGATCATCGAGTCCAACCCCCCTGCCAAAGCAGGTTCCCTACAGTAGGGAACAGTACATACTTTCTGAGCAATTCATGATGGCATGCAAGAGGTGTACTTTCTTGGTATGTGAGTGTGTGACTAGCTAGTTTTTTGTTTCGTTGGAGGTTTTTAAAAACTTCAGTAGTTTTAAGAATTTAAGTCACCGTCTGTGCTGTCTCTCACAGCAGACTGTGTAAGTAGAGCATTTATTGGCTTCGGACAAATTGGTGCTCAGAAATGAACTTGTTTATTTTGGTAAAGCTGTTTAATATGTGGACATCTGCTGCATTCAAAGGCTTGAAAAAACAGTTGAGGAGAATCTTGCTGTAAATTAATTACCAACATTCTGTTATTCTTGATATCCATATTCTCAGCAAGACTGCCATTAAAATTGGTGGGGGAAAGAAAAAAAAAAAGAGAAAACCACCGATTTTGAATTTAAATAGGAAATGCATTTTTAAAAGAAATTCCAGATCTTTAATATTAACAGGAGGAAGGGGAAATAAAAAAAAAAAAAAAAAAAAGTAAGTCATCTGCACAGATGACATTTTTGGGGATTTAGACAGAGACATTTCTGAATGTATACCTTTGAGGACTGAACCTTCATGCTACATGACTATGACCCAACGTCAAACTGTTCTTAATGCGTACTGTATGTGTGGTGAAGCACACACCTGGTCTTTTTTTTTTTTACTTATGCCTAGTTGGTGATTTATATGTAACGATAACCGTTATGCAGAAGTACAACCTCCAAATCCTGTCTGAGTATTCTCACCCAGTCTGTTTTTGTGCTCTTTTGACCACATACCACTTTGGAGCACTTCACTGAAAGCAATGAGAAAAGTTTATTTTGATTTTCTTTTTTTTTTTTTTTTCTTCCCCTTTGTTCCTCTGCAAAGCCAACTATAAAACAGGGCAAAGGAATTTCAATGTAGCCTGATACTGAAGATTTAATTTTTTACAAGAAAATGATCACGGTGTGTATTTTTTATTGCTGTGTAGATTTGCAAATTAATTTAATTAGTTATGTGAAAGTTTGGTTAACTTCTTTAGATTCAGTAAGTTATTTATATAATCTGGCACTAACTGCCTATAGCCAATACAGATTCAGAACACCTCGTGGACACTGGAACTGGTTATTTCTGTTACTTGAGCACACTTGGAAAATTGCAAACGGAATTACATCTACTTTAAAAGTCTGGGAAGCGAGTTCTTCTATAGCAATAATTAGTTGCCACTTGATACATGGTTGCTGAAGTAGCATTTTGTTTGCATTTAAACAGAGAGGCTTGAATGCATATGTTAAAGCAACAAATGTGTGTCAATGCAATATTAAAAAAAAAAAAAAAGAAACTTGCACGGTGTTTATTCTCTTTATTTGCACATGGTGATATCTGTATTGGTAGGCACTGCCTTGCTTTTGATATTTTAAACTTATAATATGAAGAGAGTGCATCCAGCACATTCACTAGGTAAGCATTTCTTGAAAATGAAACAGTCTGTTTAAATACACTGCTTCTGGTCATGATCTTTCTTACTGAAACTCAAACATGCATAAAACGTTGTGTATTTGTAATGAGCCATGCTTGTACTCGAAACATAAAACCTCTACTAAGACATTGCTGTTAAATAATATGTTCATGTTGCATTGTGCATAGCTGAAATATGCTACGTTATGTTTAAATTTTTCCTTTATTATTTTTTCTTCTATTAAAGTATCTTATTTTCTATTTGTTTCTTTGTTGCATAATAAAGATTATCAGTCCGTTTGCTGCTATTTCTTTTTCAGATGCTTTTTAAACTCCAGTTCACAGTCATTTATATGCTTTCATACTTTTAAGTTGTGAAATAGTGTGTATGTTACTGAAACTAATGGTTTGTGGCCTTAGCTCACAATCCTCTCATGTCCTGACAGGCTGCTTTACATCACATCTTAAGATCTTTTCATGAAGCAAAACTAAAAAAAAAAATGATAGGTTGGACAGAACTATTCCTAATACATCTTTTTTTCCCTCTCCTGTTAGTATATTGCTGTTCCATGCAAAGTTAATAGAGATGAACCTCCTAAAAGGAAGAAAGATTTACTTAACACTTGCTGCCAACAGCAAACCTTGTTATTTAGATAGATTTAGTGAGAAGAACTAAGGTGGGGTTTTGTTTGCTTTTTTTCTTTGTTTTTCTTTTTTTTTTTTCCTGTGAAAAGAATTTCTGGTTGCATTATTGGACCAGCATGGTGGTATGCAGGTGTTTGTCCTTCTGCCCCTGTGTTTCTGAGCTGAAAAGCCCTTCCACTGTTTTTTGTTTTTTATATTTCCAAGGTCATACGCAGAATAATATGGTTATGATATTTAAGATCTTACTTTGAGTGATAGAAGTTGGCAAGATGTATAAATTTACTTTTTGTTATTAGTTTAGTGTTCTTTCTCCTTGTGAGCTCTAAATAGATTATTGTACCACTTAAACATGGTTACAAGCCCTTTGTTAGAGATTCCATTTAATTTTGTTTTACTGTAACAAAGTGTATCCCATTATTTAGAGAGAATGCACTTAGTGTGTTTATTTCTCCTTGGCTGCATATTCATAATACAATAAGTGAGCTCTGTAGAATTCCTCTGTGTCCTGCTCCAGTCCTTACTCAGGATTTCATTCCCAGGGAGAGAGAGACATCTCTCTGTCTGGGTCATCTTCTGACGAGTAGTCAGGCCTAGAAGGTATCCATATTGCGAAGCATTTTTGGATTCTTGACATGTTATTTTTCAGACCAATGAGACTTGAACACATGAGTTTGTTAGAACTACTATAAATATATGTAACGTATTTTTAGGGTATATTTTTAATATTTTTTGTTTTACTGGGCACAAACTGGAACAGTGGAGGCTCCCTCTGGGCACCAGGCAGCACCTCTGTGTTGTAGGGGTGATGGAGCACTGGCACAGATTGCCCAGAGGCTGTTTATGGGATTTTTTCCTGACCCCATGCTCTGGGTGTCCCTGCTAGAGCAGCGGTTGGGCCTGGTGGACCCAGAGGTGCCCAGAGAAGCACCTTCCAGGTTCTTTTAGAATTGTTGGAACTAGCAATTTAATGACACAAACTCCACATAGTTTCTTCTCAGTACAGAATGCGTTGAAGCTAGATCTAGATATCAGGTCTCTTCTGTGTCCTGTTACATATGTGTTTGAATATATGTAGAAGACAAAGTTCAGGACCACCACTATAAAAAGGCTTTTGCAGCGAGTTGTGATTGCCACTTTCCAGTGAATTGCCAGCCTGACTTTGCTTTTTTTTTTTCTTCATGCACAAAGTTGGTTTGGATTGTTATGGTGCTTAAACTCTATGTCTGCTTTGGGAAGGGCCAGCATTCTCCCTTTCGTTTTCTAGCCTTAACCTCCATTGTTTTGTCTGTGAGACTTATTTTTTCCTCATTATCATATATCTCTGTCTTCATGGTCAGATCAGAGCTAAAATAGAATATAATCACTGCCAAATGCATTCAATAGAAAGCATCTAATTCCATTTTACATCTTGAAATCTTCTCTGTATGTTTTAAATGAATTTTTCAGTTCCGTGGAGCTGCAGGCCATTTTCCAGGGCTTAGTAATACAGTGCTGTTCTTATGCACTTGCTTTAGCCTATGGGAATGCTTAGTCTGAGAAAACTGTTTTCACTATTACTTTATATTCTCTTTCTTTATTTTTGGATTTCTCTCTGTCTCTTTTTTCCCTCTACATATCTTTCCTTGCAGCAACTCTCATAAGATTTCCCTATCTAAGTATTCTTCCCATTGTCCTGTTTTTTATTCAGCAATTACACAGATAGGATTTTATTTCTTAACTTGTAAGAATTGTCTCCTATTCCGTATACTTCAGAAGCTCCTCTGGCTGTGCCCTCAGTATCTTGGAGCTGATGTGGACCTCAGGAGTAAATAGAATAACTAAGAAATTTAGCATCAATAACTTTCAGGGTTAGCCTGCTAAGGTCTGTTTCCATGACATTTTTTTCATTTCATTTCTTCATTTTATTTCTTAAGATGTCTTACCAGTCAGATTTCATATTCAGAATTGCTTTTTTATCTCCTTTCACCTCTTCAAACTAAAAGTATTTGTGTGTGTGTGTGTGTTTTTCTTGGGAGGATATCCTTTTGGGTTGTGTACATTAGGATTTTGCTTAAAAACAAATACATTTCATAAAGACCAGCCCATTAGCAGTGACAGGCATGTGTTTTGTAAAAAACCTTGTGCTGAGTGCTTGTGCTGAGTGTTCTGTTTCTGCAAGTGTGCATCAAAGGCAAAAAGAAATCAGTGGCTTTTTCCTCAGAATGGCTGAGGCTGGCAGGGTCCTCTGGGCTCAGCCCCTGCTCCATCAAGGATACCGGAGCAGGAGCCCAGGCCCACATCCAGGCAGCTGCGGAAGGTCTTTGAGGAGCAGAGCCCACACACAGCCTCTGGGCAGCCTGTGTCAGCGCTCCATCACCTGCACAGCACAGAAAGTCTTTAAACTAGGTAAGAAGGGGGAAGGGGACAAAATGAGGGCTGCTGAGGTTGTGCAGGTAGTTCAAGGTTCAAAAGAGAACTTGATTGTTGATGAGGGTGGGGTTCGAAGGGATGGAGTATGGCAGGGGAATGCTGCTTCCCTGAAGTGTCTATACACTAATGGAAGTGTGGGATAGATGAGTGGACAGTGAGGTGGGTTGAAAACTGGCTGACTGGCAGAGCACAGAGGGTCGTTGTTGGCGGTGCAGAATCCGGTTGTAGGCCTGTAACTAGCGGTGTTCCTCAGGGGTCGGTGCTGGGTCCGGTCTTGTTCAACATCTTCATCAGTGACCTTGATGAGGGGATAGTGGCCACTCTCAGCAAGTTTGCTGATGATACGAAGTTGGGAGGATTGGCTGACACGCCTGAAGGCCGTGCTGCCATTCAGCAGGACCTGGACAGGCTGGAGAGCTGGGCAGAAAAAAACAGGATGAGGTTTAACAAAAGCAAGTGTAGAGTCTTGCATCTGGGGAGGAATAATTGCATGCACCAGTACAGGTTGGGGGATGACCTGCTGGAGGGGAGCTCTGCAGATAGGGACCTGGGTGTCCTGGTGGACGACAGGCTGGCCACGAGCCAGCAGTGTGCCCTTGTGGCCAAGAGGGCCAACGGCATCCTGGGGTGCATTGAAAAGAGCGTGGCCAGCAGGTCGAGGGAGGTGATCCTCCCCCTCTACTCTGCCCTGGTAAGGCCTCATCTGGAGTACTGCGTCCAGTTCTTGGCTCCCCAGTACAAAAAAGACAGGGATCTCTTGGAAAGAGTCCAGCGGAGGGCCACGAAGATGGTGAAGGGCCTGGAGCATCTCTCCTATGAGGAAAGGCTGAGTGAACTGGGTCTGTTCAGCCTTGAGAAAAGAAGACTGAGAGGGGACCTGATCCAGGTCTATAAGTATCTAAGGTGTGGGGGGCAGAATGGCGAGGCCAGACTGTTTTCAGTGGTGAGTGGAGACAGGACAAGGGGAAACGGCCAGAAACTGCAGCATAGGAAGTTCTGCACAAATGTGCGCAAGAACTTCTTTACAGTGAGGTGACGGAGCACTGGAACAGGCTGCCCAGGGAGGTGGTGGAGTCTCCTTCTCTGGAGATGTTCAAGACCTGCCTGGATGCCGACCTGTGTGACCTGCTGTAGGGAACCTGCTTTGGCAGGGGGGTTGGACTCGATGATCTCTGGAGGTCCCTTCCAACCCCTACAATTCTGTGATTCTGTGAAGTGCTCCTGATGCTCTGAGGGAACATCCTGTGTTCCAGGTTGTGCCCATTGCCTCTTAGTCTGGCAGTAGGCACCACTACAAAGAGCCTGGCTCTATCCCAGCAGATAGACTTAGCTGGGACTCCTCAGCCTCCTCTTCCACTGGCTGAACAGTCCCAGCTCTCAGCCTCTCCTCACATGCTCTGGGTCTTTCAACAGGCCTTTCTCCAGGGTCATGTTTGTGGCACCAGTGTTGCGGAAGATATGATGGATGTGCCACCTCAGCTGTGAGACTGTTCAAACTTCAGTAGTTCCTTTTATGATTTTTTCTTCTTTCTTAACGTAAGCCACAAGAGGGCACTGAATATTTTCAGGTTGTCTCTGAGCATAGTACTTAAGAATGCTGATTTAGTCAGTACTTGTACTCCTTGACACTTTTAGTTGTAGGATATTTCTACTCAGATATTTCATAAAGCGTAATACATCTTAAATGGTTTAGGAGTTAAGAGACTTTATTGTGGATTGGAATGATCCCAGCAAGAATGTTTCTGATATGCTTTGAAGCCTCAAACGTAAAGCTGTACCTGTGCGTTTTATCTTCGGGGCTGTGTCTACCGAGGGAGAAGTGAGCGCTCCCTACTTCACAGTGGGACACAAAGTGCAACATAACCATGCAAACTCTTTCTTTGCGATTCCTCTCCTTCCCTAGAATGATTCTTCATAGGTCAAGATGAAAGAGTTGCAGTGCAGCTGGAAATCACCAGGGGGCATCTGAGGACTGTTGCTGTCTGTGCTAGGAGCAATGAGGCTGGTGCTGATTTTGACTTCGCGCTTCACGGAGCTGCGCTTTCGCCATCCACCCAGCTAACGGCTTAGCTGCTGCAGTGATGAGGTGTCAAGTCCAGGTACGCCTCGTCCCTGTGGTCTTATAAGCTTTGAAGTTGCCTCAGGCCTCTAGAATGAAGTGAGAGGCTCCTCTAGTGAAGGCTCCCACATCTCACATCCCTAGAGTATGCTCCTGGAGCTGTAGTATGATATGGCCAGCTACAGTTGCTTTGGG